ACTAGTAGTTCTGAATAAGAATCAATTTATTTAAGGGAGGTTTCCTGCCTTTTCTCTGAATTGGAAAATGCAATCTGCTCAGCTTTCTTAAAATGGTAGTTAACACATCCCTATTATAGCCTACATAAACAGAAACAGAGGCAATCCAGAAGCAAAAATCCAATTAGATATAACTATCATGGGTTTTTTTTTTCCTTTGCCATTGATCTTCTGATGTCTCCTTAGTCATTTGGCTCTCTGTCCCCATAATGTCAACTACCATGATCTACCGCAAAACATTGATGTCATTGTCAGAATCAGAAAATTGGGTTGGGCAGTGGGTTGGGCAGACAATATATCTGACCCACTGTGTCATTTTTACATCATTAGTCTAAAGAACTCAGTTTTCTGTGGGAGGACAGGCATGTAGCTGTACTGTTAGTGGACTTGTAAAGCGATAGTCATTCTAGAAAGCAATTTGAAATTATATTCCACAAATCACTAAACTGAACATAGCATTTGACTTGGCAACACCACTACTACCCTTTTGTCCCTAGGGATCAATCACAGAGGGAGAGGACCCATATGTACAAAAATATTTCTAGTGGCTCATTTTGTTGCAGCAAAGAACTAGAAACAAAGAGGGTGTCCCAAACTGGGAAATACCAGGAAAAATTATGCAATATCAATGTAATGGGATATTATTCTACTGTAAGTAATGATAAAAGTGAGGGATTCCCAGAAATCTGGGAATGCTTGTTTGAGTTGTTACCAGGTAAAGTGAGCAGAACCAGGAGAATAGTTTGTATAACGTCTATAATACTGTAAAAGACAGTAACTGTGAAAGACTTAAGAACTCTGATCAGTGAAGTGACGAATCATGATTCCAGAAAACTCATGATAAAATGTGTCAGCTAGATACAGAATGACATATACATTTTTAGACATGACCAATACAATATAAATTTGTTTCTTCTGATTGTACTTATTATTTATTACAAGGGAGGTCTTTTATTGAAGGAGGGGAGTTTTATGGGATAGAATGGAATAGTAATAGTGATGTAAGGAAGGGAAATCATGGGAAACACAGAAATAGACAGAAGAGTTCAGAAGGACTTTAAGAAAGTGGCACAGACCAGAAGGACAGTGGTATTAAAATGATAAAGTTGATATATACTAAAAACAAACAAACAAACAAGAAATTGTATATGGAAGTTTCGTAGTTTTTTAGGCAATCTTCTTTTTTCTTGTACATGTGGAAATGCTCATTTTTATTAATAACTGCCAAGTTCTGAATAATTTTTTTAAAAAAGAAATTAAATTTTATCTTTGTAATGTTTATTTTCAAATACAATTCCCATGAATGTGAAGATTTCCTATAGATTCTTCAATCCTTCCTTCAACCTTTGCCCTGTTTTTAGGAGTCTTGGAGGCTCCAGAATTCAAATGAAGTATTCCTGATCTCATGATCTCACATGTTGAGGTAATCATTATTAATATTAATAAACTGATATTTTATGTAGTGCTTACTATGGACCAGACACTATGCTTTTCAATTATTATCTCATTTCATCCTCTCAACAGCTCTGGGTGGAAGGTGATGTTTTCGATGAGGAAACTGTGGCAAACAGAGTTTGAGTAATTTGTCCAGGGTCACATAACTAGTAAGGATCTGAGGTCAAATTTGAATTCAGGTCCTCCTGACTCCAGACCTGGCGCTCTATCCATTGTGTCATCTAGCTGCGTGTGTGACACTGATTTATGTAGTGCTGATTAGTGATTATATGGTTTTCTAAGTTTTCTACTTCTACCTCATAAAAAAGTGGTCATTCAAGAAATGTATCAGTAGTCTGTTTAGCTAATGGAACCCCATGGAAATGGGGCCATGATTGAATCATTAAGCACTTGTATCTTTGTAAATTAAGTTTTTATAATTATTTTTCCTTATGTATTCAACTGGGTTATATATTATGAATTTCAAATTCATATTCTGCCTAACAATCATGTTTCTTAAGTCCCAATAAAGCTGAAAATGAGATCTTCATTTTATTGGAATTATAGATATGTATTAGGAGGCAGATCAGTGGTTAAATCTTAGACAACATCTGTCCAGTGACTCTCTTCGAATGATCCATTTAAACCTCAGTTTGCATTTTAATGCTTCTACTTCCTGTGATTCTTCAATGCTGAAAGGTCTATTATTACCTTTTTTATTGATGGAGTTCACAGATTCTTCATGCCTTAATAGATGTTTTCATTTATTAAGATGGCTTTTTCTTCATGAGTTGCTGTGCTCAAAACAGTTGAACACTGGAAGTCAGCCTTCTAGTGATAATAATTCATTTCCTACCTGCAGTCCCTTCCTTCTCCAATTCATCCTTTATTTAGCTGCCAAATTGATATTCTTAAAACACAGATCTAAATATGTTAACTCCACCCACATCTCAATCAAAAGTCTTCATCAGTTCCAAACTTTTCAGCTTTGCATTTTAAAATGCTCTCTAATCTGGCTCCCACATGCCTTTCTAGTTTTATATCATTTTATTGCCATTCACGTATTTCCCTCCCCTCTCCTCCCCCCAGTCAAATGTCCAGGTATTTGTCCCCACACATATCATTTTATTCCCTTTCTCTCTGCCTTTTCATAAGTTATCCCCCATGTCTAGAACTGACTCTATGCTAACCTTTATCTCAAAAAGTCTCTAACATCCTGCAAGGCACAGCTCAGCAGCCACCTCCTACATGAAATTTTTCATGATTCCCTCAGTTATTAGCAATTTTTACTTCAAGATAACTTTGTATTACTTTTTGCAAGCTTTGGATTTTTTTTTTTACTTGTGTAGACATATCCTCCTAGTGGAATATAAGCTCCTTGATGACAGGACTATTTCTTTTTTGGTTTGCTTTTAATCTTTACATTTTCAGTACCTAGTTCCTAGCCTAGAGTAAACAGTGAATTTTGAATTGAGTTGAACAATTTATATTCATGTAGCTTTTTTAACATTTAATAAGAAATTTCCTTATAGCAGCTTTGCAAGATATATTACGTAAACATATGGTCCTAATTTTATTGATGAAGACTCAGATGCTTTGTCACTCACAGTCACATAGGTGGCAGAGCTGAGACTCAAAACCAGATTTTTTAACTCTAAGACACGACTTCTTTCCACTATGCTATTATCCACGTTTAGCTATTTTGATCCTCAGGTAGCAGACATGGACTGCTGCTGGGGCTTTAGTCAGGAAATTAAATTTAACATTTATTAAGTACTTATTGTTCTTAGAATTCTGTATTAGGGGCTAGAGGAGATAGAGAGATTAATTTCAATCTGTACATTGCCCTCATGGAGCTTACGATCTATCAGGGAGATACGTCACATACATTAATAACTAACTACAAAATAAGACATTATAAGTGCATAAGATAGAGGCAACCTGGCATAGTAGATAGTGTATTAGACTAAGAATCAGGAAGACTTGGGCTCAAATCTCACCTCTGATACCTGTTAGCTGTGTGACCCTGGCCAAGTTACTTAACCTCTCTATGTGCCTTGTGAGACACCCTGGGGATTAATTATTAAGTCATGAATGAGTTGACTTCTGCCTCGATGGAGAAAGTTCCCATGGACAGAGCTTCTCCTATGGGTGAAATAAAAAATCTTTCATGTATTGTATGTGACCCTCTCTCCAATATATGTCATGGAGGCCATTTCTTTAGAATCAGACAAAAGTGAAGATATTTTTATTGTAAGTTCAAGATGCAGATAGAATTCTGGGAGAATGGCCGTTGGTATTGGCAGCTAGAAGAGAGGGTTGAGAAATGGCTTTCTATGGAATCAGGCAGAAGGCATATGTCAATATCTGTGATCCATCCTCTATAGAGTCAGAAAGTGTATTTTTCTTTGCTTCTTATATGTACCTAATGGATAAACTGTGGTGAGTGGAGTGGAACACTTCAAATTGTTAACTTCTCTGAGAATATATTCCCTGTCACTACTGGAGAGATGCTGAATAAGAAACAGAATAGAGATATGATTTTTTTCTGAGATAGCTGTTTTTGACTTTTTATTACGAAGAAGATTTTAGAGAACAGACTTCACATAATATTTTGATAGATACTTAGTAGAGTTTCCAGAAAAATGATGTAAATTGCAGATACATTAAGAGTTTGAGATGACATTGGTCAGGGTAAATATGTTATAAATATGTTTATTTTATGTAATAATGTTTCTTATTGCTTTGTTACTACTAATTTATGTGTATATTCAGTATCTAATATTTATTCAAAAATTGAAAAACACTAATTACTAATAGGAAAGGCAATTTCTTTTGTTCATTGAATATTTGATATTTAATGGGAGTGGCAGTTCAAGCTAATTAATTAGAAGATTGCAAATTTATTAATGAGGAATACATTACCTAACATAACATTTGATTACTCTAGAGTTTAGAATTAATAAATTAAATATATAGCAATGAGTCAAGTGGCAGCCTGAGGTTAGGTGACTTACAAGTGACTGTGGTCAGACCTGAAATTCTTCTATGCTTTTTACACGTATATTCATGGAAGTATATAAGACAGGTGCAGGCAAAGTACTGTCAGGTGTGAGGAGGATCATAGAAGGTTAGAGCTGGAAGCTCTAACATGTTTTCTAACACGAAGCATCATGTTTTTTGGAAGGTCATGTTTCTCAAAGTTTTTCCAGCTTAATAGGACTTGCTTTTCACTGGCATAGCCTTTGAGAACCCAAGGTCACCTTCATGCTGAGATGAGTCACTGGAGAAGGACTTGTTCCTAAGATAGTCTAAGCATCTTGGGAAAAAATATTCAGGCTAGTTCTAAATTGAGTCATTGACTCTCAAATGTTGAACATACTTTTGGCTCCCATCTATGTATGACAATAGGAACATAATTAAAGGCAGGAAAATGTTTTTGTGTGTATATATCCTTGTTGTGGTTGAGTCATTTCAGTTGTGTCCAACCCATTTGGGGTTTTCTTGGCAGAAATACTGTAATGGTTTGCCGTTTCCTTCTCCAGTTTGTTTTACAGATGAGGAAACTGAAACAGACAGAATTAAGTGACTTGTTAGTGTCTGAGTCTCGATTGAACTTGAGTCCCCCTGACTCCAGACCTGGCATTATCCACTGCACAACCTATCTGCCTTGAGTGTATATCCTACTACCTTTTGAAAAGATTGTAGTCAATAATCTATCCTTTGGGTATTTAGTAAGTTATAGAGCCATGGTCAGTGATTCAATTCATAATAGTGATTGCATTCATAACTTGCAAGGCTGTTTTAGGTTAATCAGCACATTTACATAGCTATTGAACCCTCATACAAATAAAAAGTTCATGTCTATACTTACAGCCTGTTTGCTGAAATCAACCAAGATGATCTAACAGCCACCACTGGATGGTTCTTGTCTTCCTCTTCAGTACCCACTATAAACTAATCAGGTAGCAAGCAGGAATGTATAGACTAGAAGAACAAAGAGAATCAAACTAAGGGGAATGTTTTAACATGACAACCACCAAATAACTGGCTCCCTTACTAACTTTGATTTTCACTTAAAATATTGGTAGTAAAAACTTTGTGTGTTTGAAAAGTTTTGAAGGAATATCTAGAATGCTTTTTTTTTTGAAGAGAGGCTTTTAATTTAATTTTTAATTAATTAATTAATTGCTATTTGGTTTTCAACATTCACTTCTATAAGATTTTGAGTTCTAAATTTATCCCTCTCTCCACTCCCCTCTCCTCAAGATGGCATGTAATCTGATATAGGCTGTACACGTATGATCATATTCATCACATTTCCACATTAGTCATGTTGTGAAAGAAGAATCAGAATGAAAGGGAAAAAGCATGAGAAAGAAAAAACAAAAAACAATAAAAGAAAGAGAAAATAATGTTTAGTCTGCATTCAGACTCCATAGTTCTTTTTCTGGATGTGGATAGCATTTTCCACCATGAGTCTTTTAGAATTATCTTAGATTATTACATTGCTCAAAAGAGCTAAGTCTAACAAAATCAGTCATCCCATAATGTGGCTGTGTACAGTGTTCTCCTGGTTCTGCTCATTTCACTCTGCATCAGTTCATGTAAATCCTTCCAAGTTTTTTTTGAAGTCTGCCTACTCATCATTTCTTATAGCACAATAGTATTCCATTACATTCATATACCACAACTTGTCCAGTCATTCCCCAGTTCATAGACACCCATTCAATTTCCGATTCTTTGCCACCACAAAAAGAGCTGCTATAAATATTTTTGTACATATGTCTCCTTTACCCTTTTTTATGATCTCTTCGGGATACAGAGCTAGTAGTGATGTGGCTAGATCAAAAGGTATGCACAGCTTTATAGCCCTTAGGGCACAGTTCCAAATTGTTCTCCATAATGGTTGGATCAGTTCAGAACTCCACCAACAATGCATTAGTATTCCAATTTTCCCACATCTTCTCCAACATTTATTATTGTCCTGTTTTGTCCTTTTAGCCAATCTGATAGGTGTGATGTGGTACCTCAGAGTTGTTTCGATTTGCATTTCTCTAATCAATAATGATTTAGAGCACTTTTTCTTATGCCTATAGGTAGCTTTGATTTCTCCATCTGAAAACTGCCTGTTCACATCCTTTGACCATTTATCGATTGGGGAATGATTCGTATTCTTATAGATTTGACTCAGCACTCTATATATCTGGAATTCTTAAGACGAACATCAGGCAACCTAAGGGCTTCTGAGAAGCACAGCAACACACAGAAATAGTAATAAAGAAGAAATATCGCTACTTCTGAGAAAGTGCCAATTCTTCAGAACTGATTTTTTTTCAAACGAAGGTTAGATGAAGCATCAAAAGAGGTAAAAAAGTTGAGGGATCCTGTCCTGATTTGGTTATAATATACACCTCTCCCTCTTGCTTTTTATTTTTCTTTTAGGAAGTTCCAGCTTTCTTTCTGATTTTTGATGCTGTGTGATAGCATGAACACATGAGCTCAGATTCTTTCTGGACTTTTTTATAACCCAAAAACTTCAGGGATGGCTGGATTAATTAATCTAGGGCATGTTTTAACTTTATGCTCCTCTTTGTTATTACGGTAAGATGATATTTTGTACATCTGAAAGACTGTTACTCTGGCCTAGATAAAATATTTTTCTTGATCTGATTTTAAGATTGTTTTAGATTTTAGATGTATCATGTTCTTAGCTCTCAAGGAATTACATTGGTTACTTCAGAATGAACTCCTTTGTCCTCTTCCAGTTTATTAGACAAAAAGGCCTCCTCATTCATGGACTCGGTCAGCTCCGTGCCATCTCTAGGGAGTATGAGAATACCATGATTTTACTCTCCTTACATTCATTCAGTTGAATGCCACACTTACAGATGCTCTTTATGATTCCCTCTGTCAAAATTCATTGGTAGCTATTTCCAAGTGGCTGGATATGTTAGGTAGTAGAGGAGTCAAAGAAGGAAAGGGGCAGAGGATCTGATGATGGGGCAAGTCAAACACTAGGCAGAAAAAAACTATCTCTAAACAGCTGAGGTATGGTCAAGTTACTAGGAGCATCTGTTTTCTGCTACTCTGACTGGTTATACATCCTCTCTTTCTTGTAGAAGTCTAATAAGTGGGCTGTGCTTTTTTTTTTTAAAGGAGGCTTATCTCCAGAGCCCTCAGCTACTTGGTTCATGATAATCTAGCATTTGGGGGGCAATTGTCTAACTAGTCCCTTTAGATGGACAGAGAAGTTGACAGAGATAGCTGAATGAGTGGTTGTGACTAAGCTCAGCTCTCCATCACATCAACCAATTGATTAATCAAACAATATAAATATCCTAAGCACTTATTATGTGCCACACTCCGTGCTAACAAAATAGCAACAAATACACCAAGTAAAATATACAATAAAAAGTAAAAGACATTCCTTAAGGGGAAATTCACCTCCCAGGAAAATGAAAAGGTAACTGAAAAGTGCGTGAGTTACAAAATAGGCTTCCGTTTATAACTTGGTATCATCCTTGACTCTTTACTCTTTGTTACCTCACATATGGGTAATATATGTACATATATATATATATATATATATATATTATACATATACATAACATATGTATATGTCTGCATGTGCGTATTATACATGGGCAGACCTGCACAAAGTTGCCAGCCTCACTGTCTCCTCCAGAATCATTGAAGTCCAGCGGCCTCTGTCTCATTTAAAGTCATACATACACACACGCACACACATATGTATATAAGTGTGTATATGTATACATATATATGTATATCTGTGTACATATATACATGTACATATATGTATGTATAGTCTATCACCATGGGAATCCTCCCAGCTTATTTGGTACATCTATTCCAACACTATAATTAGTTTTGGGATTGTACAAGAAGATGGAATAAGAAAAAAAATGATTGGATAGTGATAGCTTCATGGATCATAGGTCACACATTTAGAACTAGAAGGATCTTAGAGTTCATCTAGTCTGAGTTAAGTTACAGATGAGAAAAATAAGGATCAAAGAGGATAAGCAATTAACTCAACATTATGCAGCTAGTAAATGGCATGATAGAGCTTTGAACTCAAGTCCCCTGATTCCAAATTCATCTCACTTTCTACTGCTCCATGATAGTGAAAATAATGATCTCTGATTTCATTATTCTGATCTTCATTGTGATTGTAACAGGACACCCAGGTGAGAAGTTCCATAAATGTTGCACCTGTGTGAGTATGGGGATTGGGGAAGATGAGTCAGGGAGAGGTTTTTGAATAATAAACTGGGTCCAAAAGGTGAGGATGAGAATGGACAAATTAAGGAGATCATGAAAAAAATGAAAAAAAAGTTTTAGAATATGAGAAGGGGGAAGAAAACAAAGAAGGAAAATCTCTCTGAGATTGAGATAAGAAAAAATTCTGAGACTGCACTCAACAATATCAAAGGCAACAAAAAGAGAAATATTCCTTAGTTTTAGTACTGAGTAAATCATTGAAGACCTCAATGGGAGGGTTTTGTTACCTCATGTTCTTCCTTTCAAATTTTTTTGGGGGAGGATAGAGAATGAGGTTTTTTTTTTGTTATTTCTGAAAGTTAAGATCAGATGGTCGATTAAAAGTACAACAATGGCATGTCCTCATTTCATTTTATTTTTTTCTCATATTTAACCACCTGTATTTTTGGTCTTCAGATAACCTATTTACTTACCTAAAAGTTATCTCTTAAAATTTCATTGCCTGGTGTTATATACATAAAGCTTTGACAAATTAATGTTAATTCTAAAAGTAATCACATCATATATCATTATTCAGTAAAGAAAAATAGGCATTCACAGGTGTTATAGTAATGTTTAGAGATGCTCCTGTGCAGCTTCCTTTAAATCAGCCCCCATTGAGATGCAAATTGCAAGCCATGGAGCCATCTTTATGAATTGAAATGACAGCAGTTCTTTCTAGTTGGCATCCTTTGTCATCAAAGATGAACATTATTGGTGGGGTTCAGTCATTCCAAGGTTTCACCATTAAGAAAACTTGTGAGGCTAGTCAAATATATTCAGATGAAATACAAGATGCATCCTAGAGGCAGAAAAGTTTAAATAAACTCAGAGGTTCATTATTAAGGTAACTTAGGGAGGGAAATTTTTCAAAATATTGGCAAAAAATCATGGATAGATGGTATATATATGTGTATGTGTACCAGTCTGTTCATGATCTTTCACACACATGAAATTGGCACCAACTATTAATTCACACGCTTGCTTTCTGATCTCTATTAACATCTTTATGAGAAAGATCCCTGTATAGGTTGAGGGAATCCTAGATGACCCTTTGCAGAGAAAATGGTCTGGCTTTCACAGGGGATTTTCTATAGCAGTCTATACAACTGGGCATCCAACTTTTTGGGAAGTATAGTAAATACAAGATCCTGCAATATTTAAAAATTTTTTTTGAGAAAGTATTTGATTCAAGAGTGAATGAATGGTAGCCTTGAGGCTGCTTAGAATAGATGTTCTTAAAGATTTTGTGATAGATGCAACAATAGAACAGAGAACTTTTTTCTGGATATTGATATCAAGACATTTACGAAACTGGAAAACAGATGCTAATCAGCAATGTTTGCCATGGATATATGGAAGACAGTTTCCCAAAAGTCCAAACTATGGGATTTCTGCTTAGAAATTCTGTTAGATTGGACTAGTAGTGGGATGGGAGAGGAGAAGAATAGTGCTAATGGTGAGTTTTCCATGTAGTAATAACAGGCATTTTAGAACATTTTAAGGTTTGCAAAGCACTCCTATTATTTCATTTGATCCTCAAAACAACCCTCTGAAGCAAAATCTATATGCGTTCTTAGGTAGATATTATTTTCACCATTTTGCATGTAAGGAAATTGTGGTTTATTAGGAGTGTTCCAGTTACATCATCTGAGTGAACTTCAAGGCATTCTCAGTGAAATCCACAGTAGCAGAAATAAACT